TTTTGTACTGCAATACAATCATGTATAAATTTAATGAGTTTTATGCAAATAAATAGATATTACAGTAGTTTGTATACATCTTTTTTCAATGTGGTTCATTTATTACAAATCGTATCTTGTCCGTTTCACTGATATGTATTTTTAGATCATAAGCAATAGACCATTTTCTGGTCAATAGATTAAAAAAAAAGGCCAAAAGATCATAGTACCATCAAAACGTTGCAAGGGATTCAACAAGTGCTAAAGTATTTTTTTTTTTTGGTATTCACATGCTCAATACTGCGCTATATCAGAGGTACATTACTTGGGGTTTGCAACGCGCATAGTACTGTATGGCGACATCATGTAACATCCCATTCAAGTCTCATCTCGTAGATAGCAAGACTGATGCTACATATATCAATATGTACATATATCAATGTTAAGGTTTGTAATAAAACACCTCTTACCTCTTAGTGAAAAAATGTAATACATTGAAAATGTACAGAAAATAGTTACCATAATCCGTCATATCGTGAGCAGCTATTTTGATCTGCCTGAACATCCCAGTATCCTAGTTACCTTGGGCATGCACATTTGCATTGTTCCGAGTTGGGAACGCTTATGCGAGAGCAAGATTGAAACAGGATTTTGGTATCATGTCACGCTATTTGCTAACCCCAAGTAATGTACCTTTGGCTATATACATTTGATGATAGTCAGGATTTCAATATTGAACTATTAAGGTAGAAGCCTACTAATAAATTCAAATACCCAGAATTTATTCATTTTCCAATAAATTGTACTTTCGGGCAATACAAGGATATTTACTTCTATATTTACTTATTGGGTCACCAGCTTAATTTTGGCAGTATTATTATAAAAGTGCTTTTACCATAGGTTCCTATGGCAGAGATATGTCGCCATATCTCAAATTGTAGGCTGGTGACATAGGCTGAAAAAATTATATATTGTGAAAGATGGGATTGTGTTTGAAAGTCGTGAAAGTCATGAAACCGAGACTCGCAACTTATTCATCAAATAAACAATCAGCGAAACAAAAACTTTCAAAAAAAAATTGTTGTTATTGTCATTAAACTGTGTAACTGTTACCCAATCTGAAAAACTTGTATTGCAGCGATAAAAATTCAATTTGATTTTAACACATCAATGAGTTTAGAGTAAAATATCAGTGATATTTCTTACTTCAACGCGACTACTGTGGATATGCATCAGGTGATAACAAAATATAGAAAGAAGATTTAATTTTTTAGTTCATATTTGCAATAGTTTATTGATATTAACAATGAATATATATTGACAATGGCAGGTCTCTATAGTACAATACCATTTAATACAAAATATTATTATTTACATTAAAAGACTTTCCCAAAGAGCAGTATTATTAATCTATTATGGGAAGTTATATTGATTCTACCAAATATATCACTGATCTAACTTAATGACTAAGTGTGACATGCCAGTTCACACTGACAACATTTAAAAATGCCAGAATGCTATGATCTGACTCCCAATTATAGACTGTGATTTAAAAATATACTATTAATTAAGCACCCTATAAGAATTTTGACTCCTCACCAGCTTTGATCTTAATTGACAATTTTTCTACAAACTTGTGTTAAAAAAAAAAAAAAAACCTCCTTCACATTCAGAGAATAGGAATAGATATATGTACGAGTTATAAAACTTTAAAATGTTACAACAAACCCACAACCAATTTCATAAATCAAACTTTGCCTACAATAGTTAATTGGTAAAAAATAGAAATATAATGCTTGTCTTTTCCTGAAAAAACAATATATTTTCAAATGTTGGCAAAGTAAAGTGGTTTTAAAAGTTGGGACCATTTCTTGCAGAATATCCAGAAAGTCAGTAATTGCATAGTTATATGGGAGACTGCCTTTTATTCTTTTCTCATAACTTGGCTATACAGTGACTGTGAACAAGGAACAATAATTTATATATTTCAAATAAAATACTTTGTACAAGATTTGTTACTTCGAATTATTATAAGGTTTGCAAATAAATGCCTGCTTTAATTTTATCATGTAGTAAGTAATAGTCTTGTTAGGACTGATAGGGGCAATGAGTTACGGAGGTCATGAGAAACCACACAAATACTGCCAGCAAAAGCAACAGTCCATATATTTCATTTTGAAAAGATTTTAACGAGTGTGAAGCTAGCCTCAAATTCAGATAAGGAAATAGACTGGCTTTGCAGTAATACTAGTATGCCAAGATTACGTACAGCAAAAACAGAGCTAATGAATCAATGAAATTTGGAGAGGATGTGAAGATATCATTTCTACAAGTTGGTGTGTGTGTGTGTGTGTGTGTGTGTGTGTGTGTTTGTATGCTCTTCAGTCTGAGGCTAAATCAGAGAACACCAGCTTCACTTTCGTAGTATTTAAAACTTAGTAAGTTAATAACCACCTCTCACATTTATTTGATATGAGAAATAAAAAGAAAAAAAAAGAAGATTTCATACAATTTTTATCAGTCCATTATTTTTGTCTATAATATAGAAAATAAATAAATTTATGAATATACACACAAATGGCTGCAGCAAGATTTGAAAGGAAAATATGATAAGAAACATTCCCTGAAAATATTGAATCTGTCCAGCAGATTACGATATAGCTGCAGAAAATAGTTACTGTTCAATAATGTAGCAGGAATTCAAACCCAAAATAATAGCACCCAAAACCCTACATCACCTGAGTACAAAATATGAATTCAGTATAAAATATGTCATTGTACATAAGCAAAGGAATGTCTATGGTTATTATATTTTACCCCCATCACACTTTTCACCCAATAGAGAGAATCCTAAAAAAAAAAAAGACGTGATTAAATGGACGGTGATGTCTCTGTACAATGGTGTAACAAAGACATAGGCACTGGTAATAATTACTATCCCTCAACCAAATCAAATTGTTAATTTTCACAGAAATAGGGAAGCATTTGCACCTCCACAAATGAAACAAAAGAATGATAAGGGATTTCTCCACCAACATGTCCGATGATGACACTGTACGCCCCCAATAATAGCACTGAAATTATATAAATAATACACCCAGAAAACTTGATCACCATTTTGCATAATAAATAAGAAACGACTAAATATATTCCAGATGTTACAAAGCATAGTGATGATATACATTCTATAATAATACTGTAAGCACAGTGGAATTTGCACAAATCTACTGTACTAATTTATAATTTACAAGCAGAGTACTGAAGATCTTTCGTACGTGTATGTCAAACTATTTACAATGTACGAGTGTATTGCAAAGTATTCTCATGTTTCACTATGTCCTGTTAATGCCCAACGTAGATCAATTTTCTATTTTGATTTCAGTCACGCTAAAAATTCAGACTTGCTAGAGTTCATGTGTCTTAATTTTGATTTGGCCTTCTGATGGTTGGATGTGTATTGGCACCGTAAGTCTGAAAAGTGATGCAATCATGTTTCCTCACAGCTGCTCAGATGAGTCTTGAGTTCTTCAGGAATTGTATAAGTGTCTTGTAAACAAAGATGTACTGCCCCACAGTCTGCACCATCAGCATCCGTTGCTGTCGTAAAGCTGTAAGCATTTTCGGCACATCAACATTCTGGAAATAACAAAATATGATTAAAGCTATGATGATAATTTCTGTGATGCCATTGCTTTAGATATCGGCAAGAGGATAACTATAGGAATGAATAAAATCTCATACAAGTCACTATGATTACACTGCTGACCAAAATGCTGGGACACATTCTAAGGACAATTTAAACACACCTTTTCAGTATTAACATTAAATAGAAATTATTGTATTATTCACTTTCCCAAAGATCAGATCAATACAACAGTACAGATAAACTTACCTCACTATATTCCAGACAAGCAATCATCACATCAGCTAAAATCACCACACCAGTTCTTCCAACACCGGCACTACAATGCACTAGAACTGGTGGTGAGTGATCACCAACCAGCATACTGTTTGCATGTCTACATACTGACTGGATTTCTTCTAAGAAAGCTACAAAAGGTGAACAGAGACGATTTAGCTGACAATTCTCGGGGTTGGTTGGATTAGACGAGGAACAAATTCTCGCATGCATTGTACTTCATGGATACGATTGATCAATGAACATGAATTGAGAGTACAAGGAAATCTGCACAATATATTAGCCATACCTAAGAATCCTTGTACATCATCTGGACAACCTTGGTTTGGCCAATCTGTGTACTGAAGGTGCCAGACTGTCCTCTGTTCTCCTGAAGGCTTATGTCTCAGAGTAATACTACTTGTCACGTAAAATCCAGAATTATTGGTGAACTGACCAATTACTTGGAACTGTCAAAATAAATACAATTTGTCTATTTCAATAAATATATAAAATATGAAGGTGATGAAATTAACTACCAACTAACATTTAAAAACATGGTTTACATATACCGGGTAGTCAAACTTTCTTTATCCGCATACATAAACATCACCAGGTTTTGAACAATAACCATCTCAGCCTAAAGACGTAAGAACTTTGATTGCTACTACCGTACTTACAGGGCCAAATTCAAGTGTGTTCCTGTCAGTGTTGAATTGCGGCCAGTATCTGAAACTCTTTGGTTTGCCTGCTTCAGACTCCGCAGTCAACATAACAATAACTAGAACACCTTCTTGCCATATCATATTCCACCAATCTATCACTGTATTCTGTAATGGCCCCTGAGCCGCTATATAATGGAGTTCCTCACTGGCAACATTTACTTTCAGGAGCGAGGCATTGATGTAACCACTTGGATTGGCTTTATCTGGTCTTAACTTTACCCTTGTATCCTAAAAAAATAAATATAAACCAATGTAGAAAGAAGACAAGCAGCCTGTCGGCTGAGAAAGCTCCGCTGTTAGCAATGCACATTTCAATTAAAGAACAGAAGATATCATTAGAAAATGAACATGCATAGTATCAATGCAATGGGACTTGCCGTTTTCAACAAGAATTCAAAAATATCATTTTTCATCATAAATGAGAATTGTAGATATCATCATGAAATGAACAAATTTGAGAGTGGTCCACATGTAGTACCTATATATGTAATATCAAAGCAATTGGACTTGCAATTTTTAACAAGAAGTCGAAAATATCACTTTTTACCAAAAATGACAAAAATATTCACCAAAATTAGAGAACTAAAGATATCATTACAAAATGAACAAATCTGAGAGAGGTCCACATGTAGTACCTATATATGTAATATCAAAGCAATTGGACTTGCAATTTTTAACAAGAAGTCGAAAATATCACTTTTTACCAAAAATGACAAAAATATTCACCAAAATTGGAGAATTGAAGATATTATTACAAAATGAACAAATCTGAGAGAGATCCACATGTAGTACCTATATATGTAATATCAAAGCAATTGGACTTGCAGTTTTTAACAAGAAGTCGAAAATATCACTTTTTACCAAAAATGACAAAAATATTCACCAAAATTGGAGAATTGAAGATACTATTACAAAATGAACAAATCTGAGAGAGATCCACATGTAGTACGTATATATGTAATATCAAAGCAATTGGACTTGCAGTTTTTAACAAGAAGTCGAAAATATCACTTTTTACCAAAAACAACAATATTCACCAAAATTAGAGAATTGAAGATATGATCATGAAATGAACAAATCTGAGAGAGGTCTACCCAAGGTACATATACACCAAGTATCAAAGCATTCAGGCTTGTAGTTTTCAAGAAAAAGTAAAACATTGACACGGACGACGACGGACAATCACTCATATGATAAGCTCCGCTCGACAAAGTCGACAGCGGAGCTAAAAATCCCAACTAGTATTTTGTTTAGAGGTGACTGGTTCATTGTATTATATTATATTGCGATGATAACATATCAGAATGTAAAAATCAACCTACCTCGTATGGCAGTACATGCGTAAACCTATTCTTGATTACGTTCTCAGGCTTTTGTGCAGTTGTATACATAGCATTGTATTTCTTCTTTGGTATCTGCTCATACTCTGTAAATACTGACCCTTTCTCTAACTTCTTCTCTAAGATTTTCCACTGAATTGAAAAGCAGGACAATGGTCATGTTCTGATCAGCCAGCAAAATACCTTGCTTGTAGCATTTGAAGTGTGTGTGTTTTACTGGCTCCACAAAAAGCAAGTTCCTAGAAAATGTCTGAAAATAACCATGATCCACCATGATCATACAGAAATGCAAATTTGTAGATCAGCATGGAAATTGAAATTGGACATTCACTAATGAATGCGTCATTGGCATGACATAGTCCCCATCATGCAATGGTAAACAAAACTGGAAAAAGGAATTATTTCAAATCATAACATAATACATGTATTGTACATGTAGTTGTAAAAGTTTGATTGCAAACATCAAGGAATATCCTAGACATGGCTCTAGAACAGAATTTATTAAAACAAGTATTGACAAGTTCCTGTTAACCAGTAGTTGATCTCAATGTTTAGTACAAGTGTTAGTCATAAGTATATCTACTAAAGGGCTTCATGTATCATCTGTATGTCAATTTCAAATTCAAGGCAGTCTGACTGGAAGTGCCTAGTCTTACAAAACTTAGTGATCATACTACCAGCTAGCACCAGCCAGCATGTAAAACCTAAAAAAAAAATGTGGCTGCTCGCTGGCGCTGTCCATCTCAGAAAAACAGTTATGAACAAATTTGACATAGTTTATCAAATCGCACAACACAATCTTTTGAAGATACAGTATGGTAGTTAAATCAATCTCTACCAACCAATAATGAAAATGTTGTTTGACAATGGTTAGGATGGTACATACTATTGCATGATGTTGATATTCTAAAATCTCATTTTAACTGAATGATTTTTCATGGTTATGTTTATTGTTTATACATAATTGTTTAATCAGTGTATTGTGCTCATCCCTTGTGCAGAGTAGAGGCCGCACCACTGCTAAGTTGCAGTTTTCAGACTTTGAACACAGGGTTTAATAAAATACAATTTTCGATGCGAGAGACCAGGATGTATATTTTACAGTGTTTTGTCTGCCTATTTCACCATAGAGTCAAGTGAAACGTGTGCACACGTTTTAGGAGTGAAAGACATAATACAATGCACATGCACACATTCAGGTTTTAGATTTCAATTATAGAACAAAATATGTTGTAATACAGTAAGACATATTACCGACATCTATCACACGGCTTGCACACTATCAATCAACTTGTTATCTAATGTGGCAATACAAAACTGAGAGTAAATACTTACCCTGACATCGGTATCATCTTCATCTGAGTCGTGTAATTCTATAAGCCTAGACAAGGTTAATCCATTCATGGCAGCAATCTTTAATGGTCCCATGTAAACACCTTTCAGTCTCTCCTCACTGTCGCGCTTTAATGGCTCTTCCAAATCAGAGTCATTGGAAGTACTATAGCCACTTGTACCGGGTGTCATTAGAACCACTTCATCACCAGCTTTAGGATGTAACAGAATTTTACTTTTGGGGCTGTCAGCTCCTAACTGCTCTTCCCTATTCGACACGGGCGTCTGTTCAACTGTCTCTATTGCAATTGTCTTCTCCATCGATATGGAAGTTTCCGACCGACTCAATGATTTTCTTTCCCCAGTGCGACTACTGTCTACAACCATTAAAGTCTCATTGGACTTGGAAACATGTGAAATGTCATGAAAAGATGCATTTTCTGCGGATTCCCTTGAAGACTGGTGTTGTACTATTTTCACATCAGCTTCCACATGGCGTGGCAGCGAGTCAATGTCATAGGACAGCTCCATATGTACTCTTTCTTCAGATTCCGCTGAAAACATGGGCGCTGGTTCAGTTACTTGGTTATCAGCATCATCCTCTTTATCCTCAATAGGAAGTTCTTTTACAGATATAAAAGCTGTGCTATTGCAGTGTTCTATATTATATACAGGCACTTCTGGTGAGATCTCTGTCATTTCCGTTGGCGACACAGCCGTTGGAACACTTTCAGATAACGTGGCGTCATCAATAATGTCCTCATGAGTGATATCAGTCTGCACATCGCGACTGATGTGTATTGTTGTGTGTTCACTTCCGCTTGGATATTGTCCATACGAGTCTAAATACTGCTCTGAGTTCAAGTTCATACTATGCAGAGCATGTAAGGAATGCTGTGAGGTATCTGACGGTGAACTGACGCTAATCGTCATTGACGTACTAGGCACCGGGTAAGAGTTCTGCATGGTTGCCATTTGACCCAGCACTCTCCGACTGACTAAATCAGGACTACTACTACTAATCTCCTGTTGTTGTAACATCTGCCGTGGCAAATCAGGAGTACTTGTGCTGTTCCTTGGATACGGTGGTGGGGGTTTGTACTTATTAAGGAGCATTTCTGAGGTAATGAAATCATGCGTTGATGGCATATGCTGAGTGGCCAGTTCAGGAGTACTGTACGTGTGTGGGATGTTATTCCGCAGAGACATCGGTATCACTGGAAGAGATTCTGTCGAAGTATCAACATAACTATGACTGTACGCGGGTGAGCCCATATTTAAATTTAAATGAGTTCCGTATGGACTCATGTGAGCATATTGTCCCTGTCTTATTTCAGGTTGACTGTACACCATTGTCTCTGGTTGACTATATGCGTGTGCTCTTCCTAAATTATTAAGACTTTGACTCTGATCACCGATTGTATTCAGTCTATTATGTGCACGTACTAATGCCTCACTGTAATCAGGCGACGGCCTGTATTGCGGCAAAGCTGCAGACACATCCTGTCTCGATAACTCATTGCTAGCAACACTGGGAACTGACGATGCTGGCGAGACGTGCATATTAATGCCTTGATTCAAAGAAGTCACACTCGGTGAGCTATACACACTACCATTGTTGTCAGTAATTGCAAATCCACCATTGCTGTAGTTCTGCTCAGTACTTCGTCTGTCTAAACTGAGTTGCGAATGTACGAAGTCACGCTCAGTAGGTTGCATGTGTGTCGGTAGTTTGTCTGTGAAGAGTGAACACACTCATGGTGAGATGATAATTTAAAAAATACTCATGCAGCAATACTATGGCAAGCAAACAATGGTTGTAAGATTACAGAGGAAGGAGTAGAAATTGATGTAAGCACAGCGGCTATGAGAATTAAAGGTGAACAAATAAACACACAACAATCTTGACAATCCTGTAAATTATTTCAACCAATATAAACTAATCAACTGCAACAATTTAAATGATATCAAAAACAATATGTGTATTGCCAGAGAGTTGCACAACCCTGGTCGTTGTTGGACAAGTTGAAGAACATGCAGGGTTACAGAAAAAAGGTAGATTCCTCGAAAATGTTAACACCCACCTTGTACACTGTTGGTTCTAGTAGTAGGGGTAAATATTATATTGTCATGTGCTCTGTCAGCTGACCTTCTAGTCAATGTAGGTTTCCTTTGTAATGGTAATGGTGCGGTGTTTTTGGAGATTATCCGACCACCATCGAGTGATGCCTCCTTACCACCCCTGAAAACAACATTATAACAATTATATGGATGTCCTTGATTACACGTATACACTTTACACTTAAGGAAATTCAACTCTTGGAATAGTATTCTGAGTAAGAAGGGCAATGACCTTTTCAGAAGATATTCAAATGTAATAGACTTAGAAGTAAACCTGTCAACATGAGAGCCCCTTCTACATGTAGCAACCAATATACATGATGTTATAACTGCCAATGTAACACTCAATCTTCCCACAGTCACCATGAATATATCATGGCTCCTGTCACTAGGTATTCAACTCAACACACTGATTTGTACTGTAAAATACAAAAGCTTACACCCTCTTTTCAAAACTACATAGTTATGACTCACTCACCTCAGAGCTGCCATACTAAGCCTGTAGAATTTCAGCTTAGTCATAAACATACGACAGACGTATTTGGCAGTCTCAGCGTCCTCCATTTGAAACTGTATGGTATCCTGTGTGCGTATACTTTCAATACCAAATAATCGCCTATTATGTACTACTTGCCTAATGTCATTCCATCTGTAATTGATTACATGTAAATCTGTAAGCAGAGTGGTACTTAGCTTATTTACCATATCTGAAATATTATAAGCGTATCTACAATAGAAGCAAGTAAAAACGCACAGTTGCATTTATCTAATGCTGAATCATTAGAATACTGTAAAATCTGTATTAAAAACCGCGGCTTCTATTAAAATGGTACAATGCAACAGAAGGGATGCAGCTTCTATTAGAACTTTTACAAATATGAGAAATGATGAATTTTGGGTTCTCAATTATTCAAAAAGAATGGGTGCGACTTCTATTATGTCATTTATATGATCACATGTACAACTACATGTAAAAAAAAAATACGGTAAACAATTTGTTATTCAAGCTGATCATTACTGTTGAAAAATTATAAGAACAGCCTTAATTCTAATACATTTTTTTATATTACTGTACCAGGGATATACATGTACAGTGGTTTTAAAGCAAGTACATTCTGAGTGTAAAAATGATGAATACCAACTATATTATGATGTATCAATGTATCAAACAGCTTGCGCATGGCAATGTTATACTTGTTGTATGTATTTGTAACATACACTGTGGTTATTTTGCAGTGACAATTGAAACAAAACATTTAAAAAATTGTTTCACTTCCACATTAGTATTTTTTCAGTTTTATTTCTGTTTTTATGATGGTCACAGTATACATGTACATGTACCTAGACTAATTTCTTGGCTTGCACAGTATAAAAGCATCAAGCACTGCCCATCTAAAAAAATTATTCTACCGGTACATATGGATGATGTAATTTATATGAACATTAAAAATCGGGATCACTGACCAATTTAATGTGATCAATATAAAATGAAATAACCAACTGTCAAGGTGTTCATTATTTCCATACCAGACTTCACATACCGGCCTACTTATTGTGAAGCACCATAAAACACATGAATGTGTATGGCATATCTCAATAACTAAGTTATAGTCACCAATGGTATTTCAGTATGAACTATAAATGACTGTGCATGTACCTCCAAATACATAACAATCAGAAATTCAGAAACTCAAACAAGTTAACATTGGTAATGTCTTGAAAATAACATACTACAATGTGACCTTGAATTTCAATCTTGTCTGGCCTAGTTCAATGGGAGACAACAATGACATTCTGAAAGCAGTCACATACTCATAGTTGACATTCCAGTAAGCAATTGTCAATAGACTCACTTAAAATAAACAGAGGGTTGGCCGTTCAGGTGTTTCACACATATCCCAAGAAAGGAAGCACCCAGCAACAGATCGTTCCCAGATTCATCCTAAGGAAAAAAACATAGTATAACTATTTCAGCCTTGCCATCTGTGTTACAAAAAATAAAGTTGATTCAAACCAATGACCAATACAGACTGCTATTTTCAAGATCTGTTCACTGATTGAGGTTTTGGGGAGGGGGGGGGGGGTGTACACCAATAAATGTTTGTGATACTGAAAATAGAACACAAAGGACAGACTCGCTGCAAAAATTTGTTTTTAATTTGGGGAATGTTACAAAATAATTATTTTAATGAAAAAATTAAGCTTCAATAGTTGCTGTCTACTATTGGTCATTTATTACAAGTAGGTTCCTCATTATTTCCCATTTATATACATGTTGATTTCACCAGAGGACATTACTGAACATTCGGACATGGTAGTGAAACTGTGACATAGTTTAGAAAAATGCTTTTGGTTCTAATTTCTTATCTAAATTAAACTTCCACTAAAATAATTTAAACAAATCTTGGCCAACAAATATTATTACATTGTACCAATAGTACAGTAAACAACTTGATTTCTTAACAAGGATATAGAGCAAGTTCAAATTCTTGTACACTATTTAAATTTTACAGCCTGTCATCGGCCCACAGTTGTATATATTTATTTATTTGCTCACTGTTAAATTTACAGAACTCATTGTGGGAATAAAATATGGCAAAAAAAGGAAGAAAAATAAAAACTTTTGCAAAAAAAAAGGTTTGAGACATGTTTACTAATGAAGATTAATGCATGGTACTTGCATGGCTTCCTCCTTTTAGTGGCATGAAGGGGGGGGGGGGGGGGGCTCCAACTTGGAATGTTTTTAATTTTACTTGAATATGATTTCTCATTTAGTACAATACTTTTTTTTGTTATACAGATGTCCATTTAAGGGCGAAAGAAAACAAAACACATTAACTAATTAGTAGAACGAGAACTGTCAGAAAGGTCTGCTTGATTCACAACATAACAACTTAGTACAAATGTAGAAGAGAAAAGCGACATTACATGGTATGTTTGGGGTGAAAACAAATTATTTTAAATTTTTGACTAATTTATTTTTTCACCTTATACTGTTTTTGGCTGAGGAACTTTCATGCCTGGCATTTCAGAGTAGCAGCTATTAGCTCTTTTCCATTTACTATTAATAATAATTGATTTTCAATAAAGTATTTCTAAACTACCATTATCGGATAGAGCATAGCATGTTACAACATTTGAATCACTGAATGCTGTTGAATTGATCTACTGACCTTTGCAGGATAGCTTTCTTGACCATAGCCTTCTAACTGAGAGGATTCTGTTATATAGAGTTGTTCTGCAACATCAGGTGGCACACCCTGGTGGTTCCGATGCTGATTGGCTACTTCTTGTGTTAGCTCAGCCAATGACTCCAGGTCACTTGTTAAATTCTAGTGAATAAAAAAAAAAAAAAATATTACTATTACAATGTCGGCATTTGCTCAATTAGAAATGCACATACAAAAATATTTTATTATTGTATACTGGATCCTTCAAAATTGTCAAAACACAGACACACTTATTTACGCTTGTGATTCGCAAATAATGATATTTGACATGCAGTAATACAAGAGAACGTCCTCTAAACTGCAATAGATGTGAAGTTTGCAGTGTAAACCTCTGTTGTGTTTTATCTACAACTTTTCAATCACTACTTATATTACTCAACAAGTTCAATCCACTCAACACATCACTAAGCTAAATCCCGACAGGAATGTTGGTGTGCATTATTGTTTATTATTTACATAATGTCAACTATTGCCATTGGCTATTAAATGCTTCACAATATTACATGGTCCTGATAGGTAGGCTAACAATCAACCCTAGAGGCAACCATAGCAGAACTAATTTGTTTGTGCTTACCTTGGGAAGTAGAACAAAATCTTTCAGAAACTCTACAGTGTGAGTGTAAGGGTCATGGTCTCCAAACTCAGCTAGAATGTAAAAAAAAATTAATGTGAGCAATAATGGCAATACAGTAACGATACCTGCGTCTGTACTAGACAAATCAAATTTTTTGACAAATTCCAGGTATATAGTTTTCATTTCAACCCAAATTCCCAAAGTCCCAAAATTCAGGATAGCTTCTACATCACATATATACATGTGAAATAAAAAAAAGGTTCACAATAAATAATAATTGATAATTTCTGAATTTCATAGACTAGGACTATCTACATGTATTCATCTCATCGTAATCTCTACAACTTCTCTTTTATCATTGTTGATGAATAATTAGTGTTCAAAGAGTTCAGTTATTTTGCTATTTCAAGAGACTTCATCCTGAAACTGTAAACCCACAATACACTTAAAGCAATTTTAACAAGAGGGATATACACAGTCTCTCTCATCATGATAACAATGCTCTCAGTGACTCTTCTGTAATGTACTTAGGACAGGGGAATGTACTATGAAATTGAATCCAGACGAGCTGACATATTAGGGGTCATAGTATTACTTAGCCTGTTAGTCATGAACGAGAAATTTCCTCACAGTGGGTGGTTAGAGGGGTGTCGTAGAGACTTGCATTCCACAGAAAAATTGTTTAATTATACTGACACTTTGAAAACAAATGTCTAAAACGACACTAAGTACAATGACAGTATCCACAAATTAATTAGCATGAAGGAGTTATCCCTACTAGCTTGCAAACACACTCCTGATTACAATAATAAGGTAGAAATTGACTTTAATATACAATATCATTTTACAATTTTTTTTTAATTTAATTCATTTATCTATTTTTATTTCTAGCAAGTCAAGGACTAATGGAGATATTTAACCACTTTTGATTTACTCATGTGTATAAACTTCTCTGTTGCATAAGGAATTAAAATGTGAGAAAAACAAAGTATACCAATAATGTGAACAAACACGATGATCCCTTAATATTTGTGGAATGTGAACTGATACTCAGTCAGTGCCCTAAGGTTAGATATAGAGGATTTGATTCCCTCTTATGATGGGATTCCTCAGTTCTTGAAGATTAAAACCATCAACACTACAAAATACACACGTGACATTAACTTGAGTAAACTACCTTGGACTGCATAACTGGCCAGCAGGACAGCCTGCTCTGGACTGCATGGTAGAATGCCTTCAATTATGTCTGTCCTCAGCTGTAGAAAATACAGGTACCTGCAAGTCAAATTTATAAAAGCCACATCAGGGATTGTGTTTGTATAAATAAAAAGGAATTATATATATTTTGAGCATCTTTATTACAATCAAGACCCTTTCTTAAGGCTAAAATGAGAGGGGGCTGGGCTCTCGAATATTAGGGGGTCGGGAAAGCAGAATATGGGGTTAATGCAAACCCTGAACTTAATCAATCTTATACTGTTAATTACACAAGAATATTTGGACAGATGTTATTAATAGAATCTGGTAAGATGATGCAAATATTAGCTTCATTTGTTGGAACAAATGTGTCATCACACAACAGTGGAAATACAATACTCATGAAAACAAAGCAATTATTTTATATAAATAGCATATAAGTAGCAACATTAAAGGTTTGACCTGCAACTTTAAGGACGCTGGAAATAACATAGAACGTAAATCGACAATTCAACCTAATAAAATAAAGCTGTAATTCAAAGTGTACTCATTGAAGACAATAAATTGAACCAAGCAAAATGTGTATATTTAAAACAAACAAGACAGTACATTAATATGTGTGACAAAACTACTACATGTACTTGATACAGCAATAACAGAACTCACAATTTGACAACAGATGATTTGATAATAGGAGTATAATTGTAATAGTAACAAATATAATAAAACATAGCTTACTATGGATAGAATAGTGAAAAACTGATACAATGTATATGTAAACAGTGATATAAAGCATACAATATACATATACAAACAGCGTTTGGGAACTCCACAGATGTTACAAATAGAATCAGATACATTACTGTAATGTGCTGAATTATGTGAGCGCAAACAAAGCCAAAATGAAATCTACGAGCAAACAAAACAAATTGTGTGGTTTTGATAACTGAATCTACCTACACGTACAAATAGATTTAAGCAGCTGACCCCCTAAGTCTTGTTTTCCGAATGTAGCAAGATTTGAGCTAAAATCATCAGAATTGCGCTATTAATCCTGACAAAATTTGTAATTGATTTAAAATGTCGTCTCGCGATAGAATGTTTTCCTATAACCTGATGATAGTATGGGACCAGAAAAGGATATGAAACAAGGAAAATCTACCAACCTATAATTTGAGTAACCTTAAACTCGGATCACCACAATTTTGTTTGTTTGATGTCATACACAAGATGTATTAAACAGACACTCAACTAGTATGATATGAATATATACAGGTACTAAACCAAATTTCACTGCACCGCACTATACTGGTTTTTTTTTTTTAACATGCTTCATTGAAACTTGGCATGCATTTTATCTTTCATCAAACCCATACATGGTAGGGCCTTGAACATTCCAAAAATTCACCTTGTCAATTGTAAGCTGACCCAGTGAACAGAATTTTGTTAACATTCATCAGTGCCCTGTTAATTGAGCAGTGAAAGGGGTGGCTACTTAACACACAGTATCTAAGGTAAACAACTATCATTCTGTATCTCTCATCTACAAAAGCTCACATATTGTTGGTAATGGAAACGAAAGAAAAACAGGAATGTCATAAAGCAAAACCACTGAAGCTTTCAAATGTTAGTCCTTCTTATGCATAAGATTACTGAATTGTGAAAATTCCAATATGGGGGGAATAACAAAGAAGTCAACTGGTTGGATGGTTTTGGGGACATTGACCTCCTTCCCCCTCCCCAAAAGTTCTTTTCATCCATTCTTAGCATCACCATGGTATCAAAACCCCAACATACCATCAGTACTGAATCATATCCAAGGTTAAACTAGTAGTGTGCTATACAATACAGAGCAACAAAACCACAAACACATCACAAATAAAATAAGCCACAAATCAAGGCATGCTATTTCTCATTTATTTATTCCATTCTTAGCACAGCGTACTCAAAAGATATATACATGTATGCACTAAATATAACACACATGGAAATCTACAGCACGGATCAGGTTCTCTTGACAGTTTCATTAATAGTGAAAGTGCATTTATTCCCTCACACTCATTCAGATAATGCTCAACATATGTTGGTATGAAAAAATTAATACTCGTCATGGTTAAACACGACAGCTCGTTTTTCATTGCTGCATGCCATCCTGCGCTTTAAAAGGCTATTTGTAACAGGACTGCAAGAACTGCCAACACTGGCCAATAACTCAATTTGTTCGGAACACAAGACTCGTTTCATCAGTACGGTATCTGAATTTCAATACTGAAGCATATGGAGTGCATTTAACACTGTTGACAGGGTAGGGTACATTGCTGTTGAAGTTGAGTCAAACTGATTAAACAATGGATATGTGAGTACAAATATTTCACAGTAGTCTGTAAATTCAACTAAATCATCATTCTTTTCAAAGCACAACTCTGTTCCTGTTCGATATATTCAAGTTTACTGTCACACTGCATGAAATTTATATCTCAACCAGATAGATGGTTCTACCCTTAAAATAGGTAGAAGGGTATACCACTTTTGGAACAGAACCATCTTCTATACTCGTTCAGTTGGTTTTAAATTAACCCTTATTTTCAGTTGGTTTTAAATTAACCCTTATTCTGCCAACCCTATGTATTTTTACATTGCCTCAACCAGATACGGGTTAGATACCCTGTTGTAAATTTCTAACAATTGACCTAAGTAGTTATTGTTGTGTTGTGCGCATGCGTATTTATACGGCACTCTGACCACACCAGCTGTTTGGTTGACATTACAGAAAGTAGTGATTAGTAATCACAGTCCTTTATGTACCTGAAAAGGTAGCCGTCTTGTTTGGAATAACAAATTTGTTTGCTATGTTTTGATTTAGATCTGTCCGAGTTGTATTTGAGTTGCATTTTTGGTTTTAGTTAATATCACATTTCATTATAGAAGACGAATTACCCAAGCCTCTTATTAATAAATAACTAACCCACTTTTAGACAGCAGAATAACAAAATAAACACCTACTTTTATACTAAAACACAGTAAAACTATGGATGCCTTACCTAATGAATGAGTCATTCCATTATCTCACTTAAATTGCAAATGCATATCGATTAACACAATGAAAGTTTTAAACTAACTTGTCCCAAATGTATTATGCCTATATATTTACTGTAGTCTTTTGAAGCAAATGAGTTACTATACAGTTGTCGGAAAGAAAATTTTTTTCAGACTACTCTTTATGTAAGATTTATGTAAATTAGCTGTTGACTCCAACTTAATCTTGTCAATTTCAGTATCTCAATGACATAAATCCATAATTAGAAATCATGGAGAAGATGACAAATAATCTTCAACTTTGTGCCAAACCTCCTCAAGATATATGTATAAAGAATACATATACATGTAATACATGATTTAACAAGCCATGCATGGCACAGTCCCCGTTAGTATCAAATTTAAGATATATAGTTTTGTTTATAGTAATATAGCTGGAATATAACCATGTCAGGAATATGATTTTTTAACATTAAAATGATTGACATTTGTATCTGATCGTCAAACAAGTACTTGTCCATATTGAGAGATATTGCTCTGGAACAGCATTCAAAATCAGGCATTTTGAATACATGTATATATATAACATGATGTATAACGAATTTATAAAATTTAAATATAACAAGTCAAAGCATTTAAGAGATATGGCTCTAGAATCCCAATCATTAAAACAAAATGGCCACCGGTCAGCCATTTTGAATCCAATCTGAAAAATAAAATGACGAGCATCTGGAACTCGAAATGTCTAATGTATGTACCAAGTTTGAACGAAATCCACCCATAAATGCTTGATATTTGATGATTTTTTTAGCACAAAAATGACAACCAATGCATCAGGAACCTGTAATGTCTAATTTATATGTACCAAGTTTGAACGAAATCCATCCATAAATGCCATAAATGCTTGATATTTGATGATTACTGTAAAATCTGTATTAGAAGCCGCGGCTTCTATTAAAATGGTACAATGCAACAGAGGGGATGCGGCTTCTATTAGAGCATCTACACATATGAGAAATGATGAATTTTTAGTTCTCAATTATTCAAATAGTATGGATGCGACTTCTATTAGGGATGCGGCTTCTAATACAGATTTTACGGTAGTACAAAAAAGGCCACCATTTGGCCATTTTGAATAGGATCGTCAAACCAAAATATCTGTCTATCTATGACATGATGTATAATGAATATTTAAAATTTGATAATAATCAGTGAAAGCAAGTCAGAGATATGGCACGAGAACCACATTCATTAATACAAAATGGCCGCCAGTCGGCCATTTTGAATCTTATCTGAAAAACAAAATTATTTGCATCAAGGTCCCATAATGTCTAATGTATATACCAAGTTTGAACAAAATCCATCTGTAAACAGCCGAGAAATGGTTGATTTTTAGGATTTCTTAGCACAAAAATGGCCGTCATTCGGCTATCTTGAATCAGATCGTAAAACAAAATGATGTGCATCAAGGTCCTATAATGTCTAATGTATATAACGAGTTTGAACAAAATCCATCTGTAAACAGCAGAGAAATGCTTGATTTTGATGATTTTTAGCACAAAAATGGCCGCCATTCGGCCATCTTGAATCAGATCGTGAAACAAATTGACGTGCATATGTATAATATCATGTATGATGTATATGTGAAGTTTGATTGTGATTGGTCCAGGCATTTTTAAGATACAGATCCGCACGCACGCACAGATGCACGCACGCACGGACACACTGAGGTCAAAACATAAATTCATGAAAGATACAAGAAAAGTCAGCGAGCTGTACTCAGTCTCACAATGCGGTTAGAATGACTGTTGTTTGACCCAGCATTCAAGTTGCAAATATAATTGTTAGCACCCAGTGACCTTGACTCAGAAAATCATGATTTTGAACCACAACTTAAAACCAGAGCCACATTTATTAAAAGAAAATGAACACAAGTCAGCCATTTTGAATCTGGTCTGGAAAACAAATAATGTGCATCAAGATTTCATAATGTCCAATGTCTAATGTCCAATGTCTAATGTCCAATTCGTTCATACACGACCAAAATCTGGTTCCAGAATGGCAGAAATATTTGATTTTGATGACTTTTTAACATGAAAATGGCTGCCGTTCAGCCATCTTGAATCAGATCAATAAACCAATGGACATATATATGTGTGTGTGATGTTTGAATGAACAAGCATGTCCGTAATACCAGTGCAGAAAATTTGTTTATATTTAATTAAAATATTTATGCATCAGGTGACATTTCCAATTTTGGATGTCACTAGCCAGAACCTTTTTTTTAGTGTATGTACAGTGTATTTTGCCACATAATCCATATTCCACGTTTGGGTCAACAGGACAGGACTGTGTGACCATCCTCTTATATTATAATAATGGCATCATGGTAACTTAAAGCGCGATCCAGAGCTTGTTGAACACAAATACCTTAAAATTAAGGTGCCCCCAAAATGAATGTTAAATGTACAATTACTATGGAATTATCGTTTAGCATTTTAACCTGGATAAAATAGTCTAACATACCTTGTTATTTCTTGTTGTAAATTCTGAACATTAGATATATATAGCATAATACCAAACGTCAACATAGGATCATTGGCATTCTTGTCCAGCTGTTTTTTCAATGGTTTTTCCAAGTCAACCCATCGCCGTTTGTAATTTTTATTGGTATATAGAAGACCAAAATATTCAAGCTGTAGAAAAAAAGAACATGATGTAATTTATCATTCAGACAGGATATTCCATTGCTCTTAAATTAATCAGTATGGATGTTATATTGCCTAAAGAATAACTGGAAAATAGAAGAAACCTTATGCTCAAACATTGCACAATGTGATTACAATGCCGTAAAATTAATTTGCGGTATCCATTAGTTGGAATATGCAATTCATTTTAAAGAGATAATTGTTAATCCTCTTAATTCATTGTTTGAAAAAAACATTTAAATTTGTGCTATAACTTTATGCAAAGCGAATTTGAACAAAAGCATGTTGCACCACATTACATTTCTGTTGATCGCCAAACATCGTACCAGTGTTGAATTAAAAACAAACAAACTGAAATTCAACTTTTTTTACTCACAACAAAATCTCAACTACTGGTATAGGCACACGGTAAGAAAAAAGTGGTTTACAACAATGCATATTGATTGTAACATATTGATTATTGGCAAATAAGCTAAAATTATTAATGGTCAACTGGAAAATTTAGTAGTCAAGTACAACATTGTTGAACCCCAGAATTTAGGATTTACGAATACATATTAAACTACACAGTATTATTATTGGCGACACTGATTCATTTACAGAACGAGAACCACTGTCATTCACATCATTCTGCTGCAAATTGCGTGATTTATCACTTGGACTTGCAAAATAACGCAATGATTGTTGTATGT